TTTTGTGTTATTTTATATAACAAATTTTAAGTACAACGGTTCTCAGTATTATGGAGGTTCGTGGGTTTTTCAGTTACTTGTTCAATTCAGTTCTCTTTTGTTAAGGGAAAGGTAGGCGAACACCTTTAGAACCCCTATTGGTCACAAAAAACGCCAATGCGTAAATTAGAAAGAAGGCTGGTTAAATAATCACATTCAACGAGTATGTAGTTTTCTGGGGAAATCTAGTATGTCAATGTATGGGGTCAAAATGTGAGCTATTAAAACTCGTTACTGAAATGAGTCAAGTGGTACGGAGGCGAACACTTAAACTCCGATTGGAATTCATTGGACTGCACGCCATCCGATGGGTGACATCTAACGAAACAATTTTAAAGTAGGGAGTCGTATACTCGGTAATGTATAACTTTCGGGGAGGATTACACAAGGGCCAAAGTTTGTTGGTTTCTGATGGCATGTTGGTACGTATTCTCGAATTGGTCAAACTTCCTCTAAATGTGTTCACCGATGGAGACATGAGGACGTCCACGGGCAGAGCATTCCAGGCCTCGATAACTCTGTGACTGAAGAAGAACCATCTTGCGTCCATTCTTGCCCCGGTCACACGAACATTGAGAGGGTGTCCTCTCCAGCTAGTAATGGTGGCCGGCTCAAAGAAATTGCCGGATGCGAGGCAACAATCCTGACCCCGTAGCATTCAAAAGGTTTGAATTAAGTCACCGCGTAGCTGCCTGCAGTCCAGGGGAAAGAGGCCAAGGTTAGACAGTTAGGTTTCGTAGGGCAAGTAGCCTTGACCTCGGACAAGCTTGGTTGCCCGTCTTTAGACTTGTTTAGGGGTGCTGCGGTCTTTGACAGTCCATGCTCTCCAGGCCTGAGTGGCAAATTCTAATTGTGGTCCCACGAACGTCCCGAAAATCTTACCAATGCAAATTTCGCCGAACTTTGCAAATGCCCGCTTGAGGACATATATGTTTGCCATTGCGGCTTTCAAGCAGTGGAATGGTGGCCTCAGCGAGGTCTTGATTCACATATCTAGATACTTCTGAGTCTCTGGCTCTGGTAGTGGTGTGTGATTTGGATAGTACATCATTCGGTGCGCATTGCTGGTCCTGACGATTCGCAGACTGCTACATTTGGTGACATTGAATGGGAAGAAGCCAGGGCTTTGACCATTGCTCGAGTCGGTGCAAGTTTGCCTGTGGTTTAGCTTCATCGTCCTCGTTGCAGATGACGTTCCAGAGCTTTATGCCGTTAGCAAACATTACGAGATCGCAGTCCAAACCACGGATGCAGTCATCAGCGTATATGAGAAAGAGGATAGGAACAAGAACAGAGCTCTGAGGAACTTCGTTCTCAACCACCACCTGTGTCGATTGCTGGTCACCAAGACGAACAATCTGAGATGGAGCAATCAAGAAGTCTTCGATCCACTTCAAGAGCTTGCCTCTCACTCCAATGCGACTGAGCTTGTATAGGAGACGCTTGTGCGGCAAATTTATCAAGCAAGATCTTCCTCTACGGAATTCATGCTGCGCGTCAAAGAGAAGATAATGTGGTTCCAAAAACTGCACCAGTTAGCACTTGCTACTTCGCTCCATAATTTTGCAACATATGGAGGTGAGGCTTACCATGAGGTAGTTGTTTCCGGAAGCATGACTGCCATTTTTATATATCGGTGTAATCCACGCAATCTTCCAGGTCACAAAAATGGACACTCTGAAATGGATCAATCAAGAAGTCTTAGATCCACTTCAGAAGCTTGCCTCTCATCCCAATGCGGCTGAGGTTGTATAGGAGACGTTGGTGTGGCAAATTGGTCAAGCAGGATATTCCATGCGGTGCCCCAAAGAGAAGATGATGTTGTTTCAAAAGCTACACCGGTTAGCGTTTGCTAATTCGCTGCATAATTTTGAACATATGGAGGTAAGGCTTACCGGGTGGTAGTTGTTTACGGAAGCATAACTGCCACTTTTATATATCGGGGAAATCCACGTAGTCCTCCGCTTAGGTGGCAATCTACCTGCACTGCTATGGGTGTCGAAACGCACTATGGAACCAGTTTCAATCATCGATTGGTCTCGTCCATTTGCGGTTTTTAAAATATAGTAACAACAGGACTTCATGCTTGCATTGTGACTGTTACTTGCTACATGTACCAAATGCACACATTCAGTTTAAAGGTATGACCACGCAGGCGAGTACACGCGAGTACACTCACGGCCTCTAACAATCCGATAGGCCTGTATGAGAACGGCGTGCAGTTGCCTGTAATTTAATGAAAATAAATTAAGTTCGGCCACTGTGGCCTCGCAAGGCAGATGCCCACATCACTCGCCACTGTACGGCTGCTGGTTGGGCTCGAGAGAGAGCCCGTAAGGCACAACGAAACGAGTGAGTTCCGTAATAACGATCGGTGGGCGCCCCTCTACCATGGCCAAGATCCTTCACCATTGTGGTAACCATCGCCTGCATTCGTTCCAGTAGCCGCCCTGAGTCAAGAAACATTAATTATTGACACTGATTCCAGCTTTACCCCTTTATTTGCTGTCTTCCGCTCGGATGGCGGTCGTCCCAGTTCAAATAACGACCGGAAGATATGCGCCGGGGGTTTGGACAGCTTGCTTGCCAATTCTTTTAAGAAGTTTGTCGGTATATTGATTCTTTGAAATTCTACAGTTCTCTTTCGACAACATTCGCTTGAAGCACTGAATCGGCGTTTGCAATATTGCTATTGAGATTGTAAGACTGGAGCTTGTTTACCCAGTCAATCCATCAACAAGGACTCGGTCCAAGAGTTCGGATATCGCACTATTTTCAGTGAAGTCTGAGAGATTGTCACCCCTAACGCAAAGTTGGCATTTCAGGTTTTTCCGGAATTTTCGACAGTAAACTTAAAAAGTCCTAAATGAAGGGGGAACGGTCTCCGCGAATTGCAGTACCAGAAGAAGCACTTAAAATTATGTTTAAACCAAAACGATATCATACCTTTTATGGCATTTTGTTGTCGTCCGAATGACTGTTTGTAGTTCTAACTGAACGATACAGCAGCTGTCGCCTGTTCCGGAGTTACTCTTCAATGCCTACGCGATTCCGGTTATCGCAGTACATTCTGCGTCGTATGTTCGCATTGCATAAGCATCCATCATGCCCTCTATGACCGTTACCATACTGTGCAATTTACGCTTTTCCCATCAAGTGCACCTTCCCTGTGACGCAACCATTTACGATTAATCCACACTTTCTGCGCTTGTTTTCGATAAACATAAGTCGTTGTTACAGGTTCAAAAATATTTCACTGAGGTGTCCACTTTGCGTTGTGGGTGCTTATTAACGGTGAAGCATGTCTGGAGCATTCCCGAAGCACATTCACAAACGGCAAGGAACTGCAAATGAAATGATGCTCACTGAGGCAGCTAACGTTTGCCATTCTTAATAGACGGAGAACCGTCTTCGCCTGTTTACTGGTCGGGGACGCATACAAAATCTAGAACTGGTAGCATACTGAGAGAGCTCGACCGTCGTCCTCGACGATGTTCCCTGTGTGCTCCCCATCGGCATGGGAGCAGAGACGGTGAGTTGCGCGTGAAGCCCTTTATAGTGATGATAGGCTTGCGCGGCATCTGACTCGCACCCCCTCCTCCCCCATTTATGGCGGTCATGACAGAGTCAAGAAGACCAGAGGCCGGGGAAGGCGCAGGTAGCTGGCAGGCAAAGACCCCCAAATTAGCGCCTGCCACCACACCGGCTCGGACTCCACTGAGTGGGAGTAGCATTGCGGTCACATTGCGAAGCATCTAGTGCAGCTTGGCTCTCGGTCCACTAGTCGGCCACTCTACAGAAACACACACTGGGCTGACTGTTAGGTCTAAGTTATCCCGTCATTTTACATTCTTCCAAGCCACTCCTTTAGCCCACTGTGATAAATTTAAGTGCAGAAGATGAAGATGCGATCACTGGAACAAGAAACTTATTGGCCTGACGTTTCGGATTCGCACTCGAATCCATTATCAGAGACATTCGTAGCTAAAGGTGATGGTGGCACAAGGAGTGCAGTATTTATAGCACGTGGCTGCCGTGGACCGTTTGCGCACAGCAATTAACAGTTCTCGCGATCACCGCTGGGGTCGTAATTGATGTGGCGGTGGCTTGTCGGTCCGAGTCCGAGTCGTTAACTGCCGTGATTTCGTCATCCGTGCTGGATGCTGGTGTGACGATTGCTCGGCAAATTGGCTCACTGTCACTGAAATAATTACTCGCCCGCGCCCTTCCCACGTGACTGATTCCCCTGCCCAGGGAAAATCTCAGCACGGAATATGGTACCGGGAGGTCATTGTGCTTGTTGATGGATTGCGGGCCTGAGAACCAGGACTCGAGCAGCTCGCGGCTCACGCGGTTGTCATCCCATGCGAGGATTTCGGCCTCTTGAAATCTGAAAATATGCCTGGGTCCTGTCAAGTGTGCCGTCATCTGAGAGCTAGCGTCTCCTCGCCTCACTGCTGCTACGTGCTTAGCAATTCGCGTGCGGAGTAATCTCCCTGTTTCCCCGACATAGTTGCTTTGTCCGCAACTAAACCAGATCCGGTAAACGACTCCAGACGTTTCCTGCCGTGGCAGCGGGTATTTTGGCCTTATGACTTGGCGCCTAATGGTTGCTTCCGGCCGGTGTGCAACCCCAACTCCAAGTGGAATGAGAAGACGACTGACGGCTTCCGAGACGTTCTTCACGTACGGAATAGCCCGCCAAAATTTGGGGCCGGTTGGATTTGGGCTCTGGTGTCCTTTTCGTATGCGCTGGTTGACTAAGTTGCGCGGGTAACCATTGACTCTCATTATCCGTCGAAGATATTGTAATTCAGCAACCTTGTCTTCCATTTCACTGCAGAGCGTCTCAACGCGCCGGTATAGCGCCCTTACGCAAGTGCGTTTGTGACTGATCGGGTGGTTGCTATTAAAGTTCAGTATTTGCGTCGTATTTGTCGCTTTCCTGAACACTTTGGTTTTTAGGGCACCACAATTTTTGCGGCAGACAAGGATATCCAGGAAGGCCAGCTGATTGTTTCCTCCTCCTTCTTCGTAAATTGAATGTCCAGGAAGACGGCGTTGAGATGTTCTTTGAATGTCAGCACCTGATCCCGTTCGATGACGACAAAGGTGTCATCCACACACCGAGCCCAGAATTTCGGTCTTTGGTGTCGGAAAACCAGCGACTCCAGCTGTTGTAGGACCGCCTCGGCTATGAGTCCCGAAATCGGCGAACCCATTGGCGTTCCCTTCACCTGCTCGTAGATTGTTCCGTTGAACGTAAAGTACGTCTTGAGACAGAACTTCGGAAGATGGATGATTTGGGCGTGTCCGAGGCGATTCTCCGTTTCGTCGTATTTCTCTCGAAGGAGTAGTTCGATGGTCTCAACTGCCAGGTCCTGTGGGATAGAAGTAAAAAGGGACGTGACATCAAAGGAAACCATGACATCGCTTGACAGGAGACTTACTCCTTTAAGTTTCTTCAAGAACTACGTTGACGAGCTGACTGTGGTGTTCGAATCGGAGGTCAGAAGCTTGAGACGCTGGAACATCCACTTTGCCAGTCCATAGGTTGGACTGCCCTTTTGTGATACGATAGGCCGGAGAGGAGCGCCCTCTTTGTGCGCTTTTAGGAGACCGTAGAACCGGGCTAGGGCCGTTTCTTGTGCTCGTTCCATGCGTCGGTCGAGTGGCGATATTGTAACTGAGTTATACATTGCCAACAGCGTCGCGTTAACCTCGCGTGCCAGCGTTTTTATTGGGTTGGATTCGCATGGGACATAGGATTGACGATCGTCCAACAATCTTTTGGCTTTTTGATTGTAGTCTGTCCTGTCCAATACGACCGTTGAACGCCCCTTGTCGCAGGTACGATAACGAGGTCGTTGTTAGTCCTGAGTTCCTAAGGTGCACTGCGCTCGACCTTGGAAAGCACGTCGCGCCGCCTATGAGCCATGAGGAGGGACGACTTTTGGTATCGAATGACGTTCTTCGTTTCGTCTGTCGCGCCCGTCTGGCTGAGGATTGATTCCACTGCTGCGATCATTTTGGCAGGTTTGGCATCGGCTGTGTTGAATGAGACCTCATGACGTAAAACCTGCATATATTCCTCCGTCAGCTCCTTTGACGACAAGTTGTGCACCAGTTTGTCGTTCTTGGATGACATTGGAGCAGGCAGCTTACGAAATTTGCTCTCTAGGGCTGCTTCGCGCGTTGCTTTATGTTCGCGAGTTCGTTCGGCCAGCCTCTGCTGAAGCAGTTTTATGCCGTCCTCGTCCATGAACTCGCAGCACCTTGTTTTCTCTTGGTCAGTCCTCTGACGATATTTGCGAATCCGTGAGTGACAGTCTTGAAGGAGCACTTGGATCATTCGTCGACCGTGCTGAAGTACTGCGCGTCTCGCCAGCTCTGTGTTGACCGGAGGTTTGTATGAAACACACTTCGGCATCACATTGTTGCCGAGACACCTGTGCAGAAATCGAATCTGCGCATATGTAGACGACTCTCGAAGGACAAACGTTTCCCACCGTTGAGCCGATCGGAGCGCTTCGTGCCCAAAAAGATTTCTGATAGAAACCAGCAGGCGAGTTCCAGGTAGCAGTTCAGAAGATGAAGATGCGATCACTGGAACAAGAAATTTATTGGCCTGACGTTTCGGATTC